AAGAGAATAGAAAAAATAGAAAAGATGAGCCTGTTCTCAGAGCTCACATTTCTAGCATGCTTTCCAGACGGGGGCAAAAAGAAGAACAGAAATTGCTCTAATGACTGACCTCTCGAATGAGGGCAGATGCTCAACAGATCGACACAGGCTCCACCAGCAGATTGGCCCATGACTGTCACGTTATTCGGATCGCCATTGAAGAAAGTAATGTTTTCCTAAACAGGATAAATTGGTAACGTAACATTTGACATAGACGTGGACTTTTATAAATGATAGGATCCAGGACTTGCAGCTTCTGTCTCAAATGAGAACTAAGAACTTCACGAAAGACGAATTTCTACCCCTATCAATTAATGAAGTCACAATATAGCCGACTTTTCCCGAATAAAATTGATCTCACGGTTTTCCTCTTAAGACATCTTCTTCACAGCGAGGTGGCAGCGTAGCCGACCCTGCGCGCTGACCAAATATCAAACCCCGCTCAAAACTTCTCGCTTGGCAGCCCGGTCGTCTATTTATCAAGGTCTGTTGAATGGTAAAATTCCTGTTTGCCAACACAAAAACGCCGCCCTGCACGTCGTTTGACGGTGCGGTTTTAATGACATCATTAAAAAACCCTTGGTGGAAGGGCGTTTAGGGGCGGTCCCAACCACATTCCACCACACTGCGTGGTCTCGGGTACCCCCCAGGAGGCCCGTCGCGCGGCAAGAAGGCAGAGTCGGCGGACGAGTTGCAGCGCGTGGTGTGCGATGTAGGACGTGCAATGGGACACTCTATTTAACTTGACGCGAAATCCCTATAGTACGCGCGCGACTCGTCCGCTGACTTTGCCTTCTTGCCGCGCGACGGGCCTCCTGGGGGTACCCCGTGTCTTTGATACGAAGGCGTTCAGTGACGTCATGAAAAGCGCACCTCTCTCCCTCCCCTGCCATCCCGATCACTGCCTTTCAGTCATTGTATGAACGAATGGCTCTCTAATGTTGTATTTCAAAGGATATTGAAAGGAAGTGAAATGTGTGAAGCATGTCAAAAAGATACTGAACAATGCCAGATTCTTCCTTATGTTCTAATTTTTATTACCTATAAAAGACCACATAGAATTGCAAAAACCTTGGACGGACTGCTTCGCAGTGAAATGCAATCATATTGGGCCGTAATCGTAGGCCAGTTTTTGCAAACAAATATTTGGGAATCTATTGTTGTGAACATTTCTGGAAAGAAAATTCACCTGGATCCATCTAAGAGCGAGGGTTTGATCCCAAAGTGCGAAGTTTCCGGGGCAGTGCTCGTCTCCAGTGGACAAGAAGCCGAGGAGCCCGAGACGGTATTGAATGGTGACAACGACCACGTCCTTTGGTGCACTGAAAAAAAAGTTAAAAAAAACTTGAGAACAGCCCGAATCTATAGGATTGTCACGTTCGAAGTCTAAATCGAAATTACTTGTAATATACCAGGTGCTCGCAGATGCCTACATCGCCATACTTGATGCTGCTGTCGCTGACGAAACCGCCGCCATGGATGAACACCATTCACGGGGAATCCTGAACTCCCTTCCGGATTCCACACTGGCGTGAACACATTCAGATAGAGATTGTCCTCGGACATCTTTCCCATCTGTGAAAAGAAACTGTACAAAACAATAGGAAACACCAAACAAAAGTAAGAGGTACAAGGCCAAGGAGGATTCCACAGCAAGGTCGGAGGTCGAAGACGGGAACATATGCCTAGTCGAAAAGCATGCGGGCCCTGAGGGTGTGGGACAATGCGGGTTTCGCAGCGAAGGGTATGCCCACTGTGGCCTACCAAAACCGTACCTGCATCGCTGCACTCCCACCCTCG